AAAAAAAACAAAAAAAACAAAAAAACAACAACAAAGAATTGAAGAGACACAGGGAAATCTAAATTCTCTCATATACTGCTGGTGTTGGCTAAAAAAATAGGTATGACCATTATAAGCAAATTTGGCAGTACTACCAAAAGACTTAAAATGTGCATAACCTGTAGACCAAAGTCTAGTTCTTAGAACTTATCCTAGAGATATAATTAAAGATGTATAAAAAGTGGCCAGGCATGGTGGTTCAAACTTGTAATCCCAGCACTTTGGGAGGCTGAGGCAGGCAGATCACTTGAGGCCAGGAGTTCGAGACCAGTCTGGCCAATATGGCGAAACCCCATCTCTATTAAAAATATAATTAGCCAGTGTAGTGGCAAGCATCTGTAATCCCAGCTAACTGGGAGGCTGAGATATGAGAATTGCTTGAACCCAGGAGGTGGAGGCTGCAGGCTGCAGTGAGCCAAGATTGCACTACTGCACTCCATTCTGGGCTGCAGAGCAAGACTCTCAAAAAAAAAAAAAAAAAAAAAAAAGATGTGCAGAAAATTATGGACATAAGGGAAAAACTGGCAACAAAGAGAAAAATGTTGGTGAGATTTATAAAGTGGAAGAACAGAACAACCAGATTACAAAAAATACTATGCAGTTTCTTCAAATTTTACAAACAAACTAAAAAGAATTTGCATGGGAAAAAAGGTATATAGCAAAATTTAAGTAGTAATCACTGGGTAGAAAATAACAAATTTTTAAAATTTTTGCTTACATATATTTTGTAAAGGTTCTACAATGAATATCTTATTACTTCTGTGTTCAGAAAAATGGACAAAAGTTATAATTTAAAAAACAAAAAACCCGAAAAAAAATAGAAGAATCTACATAGATCAAAAAGAACTTAGTAAAGGCTAAACAACCTAAGTAACTTTCAGGAAAGGTTCCCTTTTCAACTTGGTGGTCTTAAACAAATTATCTTCCCCATTTTTTTTTCTTTTTTTTCGAGATAGGGTCTCACTCTGTCATGTAGACAGAAGTGCAGTGGGGCAATCACAGCTCACTACAGCTTCAACCTCCCGAGCTCAGGTAATTCTCCCATCTCAGCCTCTCAAGTAGTGAGGACTATAGGCTTGCTGCACCATGCCTGGCTAATTTTTGTATTTTTTGTAGAGATGAGGGTTTGCCCAGGCTAGTCTCAAACTCCTAGACTCACGCAACCAGCCCACTTCGGCCTCCCAAAGTGCTGGGATTACAGGCATGAGCCACTACATCTGGCCTTTATCTTACTCTTGCTTGAAATTCTACCATAAGCAATGTATCTAGGTTAATAAGTTCTTTCTTTTATTTGGAGACAGAGTCTCGCTGTGTCACCCAAGCTGGAGTGCAGTGGTGCAATCTCGCCTCACTGCAAACTCTGCCTCCTGTGTTCAAGTAATTCTCATGCCTTAGCCTCCTGAATGGCTGGGATTACAGGAGTGTGCCACCAGACCCTGTTAACTTTTTT